TGGAAATATGCCCTAGAGGCAATAATAAAAGGATTATTATTATATTTCCTTGTTCATGATAATTGTCTTTTATTCATGCTATAATTGTATTATCCGGAAATCGTAATACACGTGTGAATACATAGACCACAATATGTCCCTAGTAAGCCTCTAGTTGACTAGCTCGTTGGTCAACAGATAGTCATGGTTTCCTGACTATGGACATTAGATGTCGTTGACAACGGGATCACATCATTAGGAGAATGATGTGATGGACAAGACCCAATCCTAAGCATAGCACAAGATCGTGTAGTTCGTTTTGCTAGAGCTTTTCCAATGTCAAGTATCTCTTCCTTAGACCATGAGATCGTGTAACTCCCGGATACCGTAGGAGTGCTTTGGGTGTACCAAACGTCACAACGTAACTGGGTGACTATAAAGGTGCACTACAGGTATCTCCGAAAGTGTCTGTTGGGTTGACACGGATCGAGACTGGGATTTGTCACTCCGTATTACGGAGAGGTATCACTGGGCCCACTCGGTAGTGCATCATCATAATGAGCTCAAAGTGACCAAGTGTCTGGTCACGGGATCATGCATTACGGTACGAGTAAAGTGACTTGCCGGCAACGAGATTGAACGAGGTATTGGGATACCGACGATCAAATCTCGGGCAAGTAACATACCGACTGACAAAGGGAATGGTATACGAGGTTGCTTGAATCCTTGACATCGTGGTTCATCCGATGAGATCATCGAGGAGTATGTGGGAGCCAACATGGGTATCCAGATCCCGCTGTTGGTTATTGACCGGAGAGCCATCTCGGTCATGTCTGCATGTCTCCCGAACCCGTAGGGTCTACACACTTAAGGTTCGGTGACGCTAGGGTTGTATGAATATGAGTATGCAGCAAACCGAATGTTGTTCGGAGCCCCGGATGAGATCCCGGACGTCACGAGGAGTTCCGGAATGGTCCGGAGGTAAAGAATTATATATAGGAAGTGCTCTTTCGGCCATCGGGAAAGTTCCGGGGTCACCCGGTATTGTACCGGGACCACCGGAAGGGTCCCGGGGGTCCACCGGGTGGGGCCACCTATCCCGGAGGGCCCCATGGGCTAAAGTGGGAGGGGAACCAGCCCCTAGTGGGCTGGTGCGCCCCCCCTGGGCCCCCTCCTGCGCCTAGGGTTGGAAACCCTAGGTGGGGGGCGCGCCCCACTTGCCTTGGGGGGCACTCCACCCCCCTGGCCGCCGCCCCCCTTGGGAGATTAGATCTCCCAGGGCCGGAGCCCCCCCTGGGGGCCTATATAAAGGAGGTCAAGGGGGAGGGCAGCCGCACCCTGTGTCTTGGCGCCTCCCTCCCCCTGCTACACCTCGTCCTCCTCCCGCAGCAGCTTGGCGAAGCCCTGCCGGAGTTCTGCTACATCCACCACCATGCCGTTGTGCTGCTGGATCATCATCAACCTCTCCTTCCCCCTTGCTGGATCAAGAAGGAGGAGACGTCATCCGCTCCGTACGTGTGTTGAACGCGGAGGTGCTGTCCGTTCAACACTTGGTCATCGGTGATTTGGATCACGGCGAGTACGACTCCATCATCACCGTTCTCTTGAACGCTTCCGCACGCGATCTACAAGTGGTATGTAGATGCAATCTCTCTCCTATGACTCGTTGCTTAGATGAACTCATAGATGGATCTTGGTGAAACCGTAGGAAAAATTTTAATTTTCTGCAACGTTCCCCAACAACAAGTACAACGTGAGCGACATCTTCAACGTCTCCGATCTCTCCCCGTACCATGGTGATGAGGATTTTGATCCGAGGTCGGATCTTTCCCAAGGGGGGGAGATGAGGCGGAGCTTCCTTCGGTCATCCCCATGGACCTTCCATCGACTATCCAAGCTCCAAGTGGACCCATGACAAGAGCAAGGGCTCGTGCTATTCAATCTGAGGTGACATCACTCCTACTTGAGTCCCCCTTTTCTTCCAGTGAGACATGGCTACTGCCTAAGTCTGAGATGCTATGCGCGATCAGGTACAACGCTCAAGCCACAGAGCCAAGAGCTGAAGAAGAAACGACAGGCGTCAACTCTGGACAGCCCGGAACTTCCGGCCGGAGCCTGGAACTTTTGGCTCCCTGAATGTCCGGCCTACCCAGAGCTTCCGGACTCCGACGATATCGACCAGCCCGAGCGTGCCAACTCTCTGGTTAGCCCGGAACCCGTCCCAGACCTTCCGGCCCCCGGAACCTCTGGCCCCCGGACACCAGCCCAGCTCCACCCGCCCAACTCTCTGGCTAGGCCGGACCCTGCCCGGACCCTCCGTCGCCCGAAACTTCCGGCCCTGCCTGCGCGCAGCCACTTGGGCCGAGGCACGTGTACCCTTTTGCCCCGTAAACTATATATACTCTTCTCCTACCTACGTTCTAGGGTTAGCATTGTGATAGCTCGTTTGAGATAGAGCATTGCTCATCCGTACCGGATCTACTCCATGTGAGGGACCGTGCCTCCTCGGAGAAGATCCATCCGGATTCAAGGCCTCCATCCGGAGAAGACAATCAAGACCTCCTCCCGGAGAAGAACGGTTACTCTTGTATCTTCCCTTTGTTGACTTCGGATCTTGTGTTACCTTGTGCTTTCGGTGATCTAGCCCTTGTGTGATCAATTACTTGTCGGTTGAGTGTTTCTCTCGTTTCTCCCCGTGATTTCCCTTGTGTTCTTCCGAGCGTTCTTCGTGTTCCCCCGTAGGTTCCACTCCAAAAGTGAAAGATCAGCCCCATAGGGTTCCGCCCTACATCAACAAGCGTCGGCGGCTGACGCTTGAACTGCAACACGAAACCAAACAGTCGGGCTCTCTTGAAGTACGGCGCGTAGCGCTCGTCGTAGTCCATATTCTCAGCAACCTCGTGACCCCTCATGCGCAGTGGCGGGAGCATCTGTCAAAAAGTGGACGGCAAGAGTTACAAACTTGTTTTCATCAATCCGAAAACTTTGATCAATATTTCCTCCATATTGCTTACCACTCCGTTCTCTATGAAACAGGCACGATGACCCTTGTCGAATGCGTAGTCAAGCATGGAGTACCGTGGGCCGACGTTGTCCGCAAGAGGTGCCCGCCTTAATAAAATTTCATAAACAAAAGCATCATAAGCATACATAAATAAAAAATAAAATTTCTTGATTAAATGAACTAGGGTTCATCTTAAGCATATTCATCCAACAACTTCTACTACACATGAAGGATCACATCATATCAACATGCATCATATCAAAATAAAATCCTCCAACATGCATCATATCATCAAAAAATTTAACATTTTTTTTAAATAGAGTTCATCTTGAATGTATTTTCCTTAAACAACATCTTCATATCAACATGCATCCACTACACTAACATATCCCACGTCCACTACACTACACATACATGTCCCATATCCACTACAACATACTTTTTTAAAAAAAATTATGAACTAGGGTTCATCTTCACACTAACATATGAACTATTGATTAGAGTTCATATTCAATACCACTAGTTACTAAAGAACTAAGAACTAGAACTACAATGAAGCTAAAACAATCCTAAGTGAAAAAAATTACAATCAAAGTTGAAAAAGATGAGGGATTTCAAGCAAATAATGGGTAGAATCGAAAGCAAGTTTGCAAAAACTACTTGGAGGGATTGGAGGAGCTTACGTTTCTCTCTTTGGGGCCATCTCGATCCGCAAAAACGATGAAGAAACAGCGAAGTTCCGAGGAGGAGAGTGGAGGAGATGAGAGAGGGAGAGAGGGGCGAGGAGCGAGGGGGAGGGGTGGGAAGAAAAGGCAGGGGCGGAGGGTCGGGCAAAATAACTGCTCGCACCCTACCGTATCCGACCGCCAGCACCCCTGGCGGTAGGGTGCGACGGAGGGGGACGGCGACCGTCTCCACGTGTTGATGTGGATTAGTACCCTACCGCCACGGGCCCTGGCGGTAAGAAAAAAGGTTAAATGCCGGAAATTTTCGAAACCGGGGTTAGATCCTGAAATGTTATGCGAAAAGGGTCGAAACACGAAATTTTGGCCGGAGGGAGGAGCAGAGGCCCGGCAGGAGAGGATTGCACGTGCCAGCATTCAATGGACCCTCTTACTTACACCCAGGCAGTCACGAGCGCACGCGCGCACACACGCAAATGACGGAAGAAACAGCGGTAGGTAGATTTGGATTTGGATTTAGGGCGCGCATGCATCTCGTCAATACTACTACTATAATGTTTGTAATCGGGGTGATCTCCGACGAGATTGTGCGTGGAAGGAATGGATGAAGAGTTTGCGGCTGCAGGAAAGAGGATCTTGGTCAACTGCCACTGCCATTGCTTGGCACGCGAGCATGGAGATTCCTGCCTGCAGCTCTGCAGGAAAGAAGAAAGGAAGAAAGGGGATCATTACAGTGAGTAATTATACTGTTAGTAGTAAAATGGGCGTCGGTCAGGCTTTCTACAGCCCCGAGGAGAGGAGCTCGGCCACTCCATTGACCCACTTATTACTGACCCACAAGTGATAGCGGAGGCTGGGTGGGGATAATCACTGTGCTGTGCTGCCTCTGTTTACCACCACCATGCTCCACTCCAGCAGGTCGCAAAGTTAATCATCCACCTCCGTCAGTTCAGAGTCAGAGAGCATGTGGTGCACTCCACTAGTACCCAGCCTCAGAGTATGGAGTCCAGTGTTAATTGGCGAGCAGAGCTGCCTTTCTTCCTCCTCTCGCTCTCCGGCAAGCCGGCCGCCGGCCCACACTCACTCACGCACGCACGCAAGGACGCACGCTGCCGCATTTAGTTAAGCAGCAGCTCAATAGCTCATGCCCCGTCCCTCTCCCCTTTTCCTTTCCTTTCCGGAGAAGAGATCCAAGGCAGCCTTGTCCGTTTCTACTCTTTTACACCTAGCTCGCTCACTGCTCCCCCGCCCATCATCAATGCCGCCCACCCGCCATTGCTGACCTCCCCTTCCTGCCACTGCCTTCCTTCCTTCACTCCACACTCCACCACACCATGAAGCCCCCCGGAGCCGGAGCCCTCTCGCCTCGCCACCTCCTGCCCCTCCTCCTCCTCCTGCTCTACCACCTCGCCGCCGCCGGCACCGCAGCAACCGACGCCGACGCGCTGCTGGCACTAAAATCCTCCCTCGACGCATCCAACCGCCTCCCGTGGCACCCCTCCACGGCCCGCACCCTCTGCACCGCCTGGCCGGGCGTGCGCCAGTGCGACCCCGCCGGCCGCGTCACCAAGCTGGTCCTCGAGAACCTCAACCTCACGGGCCCGCTCACCGCCGCCCTCCTCGCGCCGCTCGGCGAACTCCGCGTCCTCAGCCTCAAGGCCAACGCGCTCTCCGGCCCCGTCCCCGACGGGCTCGCCGCCGCGCTCCCCAACCTCAAGCTGCTCTACCTCGCCGGCAACCGCCTCTCCGGCCCGCTCCCCGCCAGCCTCGCGCTGCTCCACCGCGCCACCGTGCTCGTGCTCTCCGGCAACCGCCTCTCCGGCCGGATCCCGCGCGAGCTCGCCCGGGTGCCGAGGCTCACCTCGCTGCTGCTCGACGGGAACCTGCTGACGGGGCCGGTGCCCGCGCTGCCGCAGAGCACGCTCCGGGCGCTCGACGTCTCCGGCAACCGGCTGTCGGGCCAGATCCCCGGCGTCCTCGCGAGGCGGTTCAACGCGTCGGCGTTCGCGGGCAATGCCGGGCTCTGCGGGGCGCCGCTCGCCGTGCCCTGCGTCGCGGCGGCGGCCGCTCCCGGGCCGATGTCGCTCTCCCCCGCCACCGCCGCGTTCGCGCCGCTCCCTCCCCCCGGCGGGTCCGGTGGCAGCAGCGGCCGCCGCAGGAAGGCCGCGATAATCGCCGGGTCGACGGTGGCGGGCGCGGTGGTGCTGGCCCTGCTGGTCGCGGCGGCGGTGACCGCGTCTCGGCGCGGGCGCGGGCGCAACAAGCGCGTGGCCGGCGACGTGGACAAGGGCGGGCTTGGCACGCCAGAGGAGCAGGCGGAGGAGGACCACCAGCAGCAGCACCGGTCGGCCAACGCAGCACTGCCGCCAGCGACGAACTCAGCGGCGGCGGCGGTGGGCGGTCGGGAGTTCTCGTGGGAGCGGGAGGGGATCGGGAGGCTGGTGTTCTGCGGGGGCGCGGCGGAGGCGTACAGCCTGGAGGAGCTGCTGCGGGCGTCGGCGGAGACGCTGGGGCGCGGGGAGGCCGGGAGCACGTACAAGGCGGTGATGGAGACGGGGTTCATCGTGACGGTGAAGCGGATGCGGTGCGGCGACGCGGGGGGCGCCGGCGGGGTGGGCGGCGGGGCTCTGGAGTTCGGGCGGCGGGCGGAGGAGCTGGGCAGCGTGCGGCACCCGAACGTGGTGGCGCTGCGGGCATACTTCCAGGCCAAGGAGGAGCGGCTGCTGGTGTACGACTACTACCCCAACGGCAGCCTCTTCTCCCTCGTCCACGGTGAGTTCAGTCACTACCCCATTGCCATTGCCATTGCCATTGCCGTCTTGTTCCTCGTCCTCCATTTTCGCCATTGCCATGCTGTGTTTTCTCTGAAAGAATGTGTTTTTCAGCTCAATTCCTTCCTCGTTGCCATGCGTCCATGTTTAGTAGTCCTAGATGTCTTGTGTGTAAAAGGACAAATTTTCTTGGTGTCTGTTACTCACGGCATTGAGATTGAGGGAGCAAATCACGGGGGAAAGCAAAGCTGTTGCACATCCAACCATCTCTCTCTGTTTTTCTTTTCTTGTTGGGTAGCTGAAGCATGCAGCATGGATGTGGCGTGCACTAGGGTTTCATTTCCATGGCCGGCTTTGTTTGTTGGTGCTGCTTCCTAGACTAGTCCTAGATGACAAGATTGGCATGCGCAAGCCTCATGGCTGTGCTTCACCACAAGTGTACATAAAAAAAAAAGGCAGCTCTTATATACTTGTAAAAAAGAGTATATAAGAATTGCTTCACCATGAAATGTGACATGGATTCATTTTTCATGCTGTGGTAGCCAGGCAGCTGCTTTACTATTAACTCACTCGTGCTGCAAATTAAGTCCCACCTGACATGAAGTCAAGGAGGAGGAGTACCACCACCACCACTATAGGAGGAGCAACAGTGATTCATGAGACAGTGATGAATGCTTGGTAGATTCCACATCACACAAGTCTCATGTTGACGCCAGATCTGTGAAGCCACTCACTAGATTACCACCACAGATTAGAAGAAGCCCTATCAGAAGGAAAGGCTTTGGTTAATCTCATTGCATTGCGCCCTAGTAGTACATTTTGCAGTGAAACTTGATACTACCTGGCTAAGACGGCGGAAGAAGAAGAAGAAGAAGAAGAAGAAGAAGAAGAGGATGAGCCGATGAGGTGCCCCTGCTAGCTTACTTATTCAGGCAAACCGTAGTACAACACCTCTGTTTCCAAATAGGAACAATGATGGTGTGCTAGTATTCCTTTTTTTCATTCATTCACAAGCTGCTCTGCTGATTTGGAGCAAGACCCCTATGCTAGGCCAGCGTGTCCTTTTTTTCATTGATCCATGCATGCGAATAAGTCCCATATGACATGAACACACCCCCACGAAGGAAGACACGCCGTAAATCTAGCCACCCAGCCAGCCACAAGATCACTGGACCTGGAGAAGATCAATACATAGATATAGATGAACAAAAAACAAGTACTCCGTACCATGGAGTAGATCTCACTGAACAAACAAAGAAACTTCTTTTATTCAGAAATACGTACTACTCCCTCCGTTCCAAAATAGATGAACCAACTTTATACTAAAGTTAGTACAAAGTTGAGTCATCTATTTTGGAACGGAGGAAGTACTAGATAAAATACTAAGAAGCAGCTTCAGTGCACGAGCATGCCGGGAGTATGAGTTACCAAAGTAGCGCTAGTTTCTTGCAAGGAAAAAAAAAAGTGATGTTTATCTATACAATAGAGACTCAACACATGCCCATCCTGGTGCTCCGCTCACATGTATGATCGCCAGCCAAGCACACCTGCCCTGCCTGTTGAAGAAACAAATTCTTCAGGCATGGTGATCTTTTTTTTTTCTAATAAGTTTCTTTCACATGCCAGCAGTACTGATTTGGCAATGGCCAGACTGGAATAATGCACCATACATTGTCCTTTTCCCCGCCATGCCACCGTCCAAATATTTTTTTTCTCCAGAATTGGCTAAAGCCAGGCAGTCAATCTGCATGATTCAAGACAGTAGTAAATAAGATAGGCCCTCCCTGCCTGCCTGCCTGCACAATTTGTGTCTTCACCACGTACGCCTTGTTTCACAAGTAAGCAGGGACAAGCGCATAGATACACAGATAGATTTATCGACGCGGTGACAGTGGTCCTTGTTAATCGCCATAGCAAGTGTTGTTACTACCTCCTGCTGCCGCTGCTGGGTAAATTCTTTCAGGCATACTGTAGTAGGGGCATTGTTTTTGTTCATGCAAGCTGCTGGATTGGTAACACTGGGAGCAATGATCAGATTCAGACAATGCACGTATGGTCCTTGTCCGCGCAATGAGATGAGACGAGCTGCGAGTGACATTGATTATGATGATTAGTTAAGGCAGGCAGTGGAGCCGAGCAACACGAGGCCAGGATAATGCGATGGATGAGCATGAGCTATCCCTCCCTCCTGCTTTAGCAGCGTGTTCTGAACCCAGTAGATAGCACCGCCTGCACAATTTATTCAGTGCATCCACGCAAGATTCAGACGGATTTTCTTGAGCGCTCTCGATCGTGTTGTGCTGCCTGAATCCCATTCCGTTCCATTGCAAGTTAAGTATTACGTGCATGGAGAGATCCATATCCATGATCCTGCTCCGCCACTTGAGATAATAGCTTGTGTACCTGCTGCCTGCCCTGCCCTGCCATGATCCATATCCATAATGCATTGTCCTCTTCTCTGCACTAATAATGCACTAGTATCCAAATCTTCTTTCCAAAATCAGAATTGGGCAAGGCAGGCAGGCAGGCAGTCAAATGCCAACATGTCCTGAACCCCAGACAGTAGAGAATTCATTTCATTTCTTCAGGAGAGAGCGCATCCATGTCTGTCTTCACAAGCAAGCTAGGGACAAGCGCAAAGATACAATGGCACATGTACCTACTCTCCACGGATTTATCCATGACTTACACACTGACAGTGGTCCTTGGTTGATTAATCACCACTATACTAGTAATTGTTGCACACAGAGTGGTCATTTTGATCTGCAAAAAATAGTAACTGTTGCCACCACAACGTGTAATGAGCAACAGTCGGACACAAATTCAGACAAATGCATGGCTGGCCTCACACTACACAGTACACACACAGCTACCTCAGCTCAGTAAATGTTCATAGCATGAAACTTCACTAGTAGTTACATGAAGTTGAAAATATTCTAGCAGTACTGAACTGAAACAAAAAATGTGATCATGCATGTTTTGCGATTTAAATGTGGTAGTATAATGGTTGGAAATTCATGGGTGCAATGCAGGGTCTCGGCCGTCGAGCAAGGGCAAGCCGCTGCACTGGACCTCCTGCATGAAGATCGCTGAAGACATCGCCGCCGGCCTGCTCCACCTGCACCAACAATCACTTGTGCACGGCAACCTCAAGCCTTCCAACGTCCTCCTCGGCCCCGACTTCGAGTCCTGCCTCACCGACTACGGCCTCGTCCCCGCCCTCCACGCCGCCGGCGCCGACGCATCCTCCGCATCCCTCCTCTACCGCGCCCCGGAGACCCGCTCCTCCTCGTCCTTCACGGCGGCGTCCGATGTGTACAGCTTCGGCGTGCTCCTGCTGGAGCTGCTTACGGGCCGGGCGCCGTTCCCGGACCTCCTGGACCAGCGCGGTGGTGCCGACGAGGTGACCGCCTGGGTGCGCGCCGCGCGCGAGGAGGAGATGTCCACGGAGTCGGGCGGCGAGTCGGCCGCGTCCGGCGCCGCCGGCCCTGCCGAAGAGAAGCTGGGCGCGTTGGTTGGCGTGGCGGCTTCGTGCGTGGCCGCGGACCCCGGCGCGCGGCCGGCCACGGCCGAGGCGCTGCGGATGGTGCGGGAGGCGCGCGCAGAGGCCATGTCATCGTCCAACAGCAGCGACCGCTCGCCCGCGCGCTGGTCCGACGCCGTCATCGTCGGCGCGCCGGGGCCGCCGACGGACTGATCAGTCCGGTCCGGTTAGCATCTTCAGTTTCGTCGATCGGAGGGATCGATCGATGGAGCTGGATATATACATTTGATTGATTTGGATGAGATCGTCTCGATCTCCAGTTAAGCTAGCTAGATAGGATTTTATTTGGTTGGTTTGATCAGTTGTTGGATTTGTAGATCGCGAGCTTTGAATTGCGCCATCGATCATCATGTAGTTAATTACTAGTTTGTGTCATCGGATTGAGCCATGGAAGTAGTTACAAAGATGCAAAATCCTCCTCCTCTACCAACACGTCTAGGAGTACATGCCAACGCCGTTGACAAAACACTCGTTTTTCTTTTCGAAAACACGAGACAGTTGAGACGCTCATATACGTACGTACACTCATCTCTATGAGCGAACACATGCGCACTCTACTCGTATATATGAGCATCTTTGAGAGACTAGGAAAAAAGCAACATGGTTTGTTACATCGGATATGCTCGTCTACCGCCACGATACTCTCACATGATGGCTGGCACCCTATGAAAGGGCACTGGAGGAGCGGCGGCGGTGCGAGGCATGAGGTGCATCTCACGTGGCTTTCTCTGATGCACATTAAGTATTTGAATGTATCGGTGGTTGCTTTGTAATACAAAGCGAGGGAAACCCCTTTTCGTAAATTTGCACTGAAACTTGATACCGGCTAATTAAGATGGGGGAAGAAGAAGAAGTTGAGGTGCTCCTCCTCCTAGCTAAACTATTCAGGCATACTATGGGGATAGTAGGAATGAATGATCAAGTTGAGACAATAACGTGTATGTTGTCCTCTCCCACGATGCACTGAGATGAGGTGAGGTGAGGGTCCATGATCGACATTCAAGCGGCCTGTGTAGTACAAATTAGGCACCCACATTGATTATGATTAGTTAGGGCAGGCAGTCAAGCGACAGCAGGCCAGGCGATTGAGTAGCGTCGTGTCCACCTGAATTGAATCCAATGCAATAGTACTGTACTAGTGTGCGTTTGCAGCTATCTATCCTTGCACACAGTAACTTCGTCTCCTCTCTCCCAAGAACTGCTCAAACAATGTGTGTGTACCAGGCCAGCCATCGATCCACATCTTGGCAAGCAAGCAGGGACAAGAGCATAGTATGTATACTAGCAAAAGAGCCCGTGCGTTGTAACGGGAGAGAAAACATAACACACACTCTTAACCCAACAACAATCACCCAAGACCACAATAGGTTCATCTCCTTTATTTTGACGAGGCATCATATTTGTGTTGCCGCTTATCCTCCTTCTCACCCTCACCGGCGATGGCCTCGGTATTCACACAAAACAAAAAAAACATGTTGAAATATGTTTAATCCTAAGGCGTCTCTCTCTCCCTCTCTCCTCCCTCTCTCTCTCTCTCTCTCTCTCTCTCTCTCTCTCTCTCTCTATCGCGCGCGCGATGAGAAATCTGTTGTTTTCCCCTGCGATATTTTTCAGAGGTATGCATATGTAGTTATAGATAATTTCTTTTCCCTATATTGTTATAGTGGGGTGTTTATTTGCAATCCGGGTCGCCGCCGGTACGAAAGAAAAACGGGTCTTACGCTATAAATTATAAGTTTGCTCCCAAAATGATATTTAAAAAATATTTAACAGGTAAAATTAACATCATATTTAGATTCCACATATTTTTCTAATAAAATTTCATATATAATAAGTTAAAATCGAAGTTACGATTTAAAAGATACGAATAATTTCGAAAATCATTTATTTGACTTAAATATATTCCAAAATACTATTTAAAAATACTTAACAGGTGAAAATAATCTCATATTCATATTCTACATATTTTTCTAATCAAATTTTATATATAACATGTTCAAATCGGAGTTACGGTTTAAAAGATATGGATGATTTAAAAAAACATTGTTTGACTTAAATATGATCCAAGGATGAATTACCTGAAACATTAGGTTTTTTTTGGAAAATGTAAAATAAAGGTTCGGGTGTGACTTAAATCCGAACCGCGGGTTGATTTCAACGAAACACAGGGACTTTTGTGTAAAATATGAAAAAACGATTCATTTTAACTTAAAACAGGACTGCGGGTTGAATTCTCTGAAATAGAGGGACTTTTCAAAAAAATGCCATGACGGACGAAAGAAATTCAATTTGCTTTATTATTAGGTAATGATATATGTAGATGTAGACAGGTATATATATATACTAGCCTGATATTTTCTTGGGTGCTCTGCTCTCCCTGAAACTGCTCAAACATGTGTACCAGGCCAGGCATGTGGCCTGGAGCAAGACCCTAGGCTGGTCAGCGTGTCCTTTTTTTTTCCCATTGATCCATGCGAATAAGTCCCACATCAACACGCCCCAGAAGACGCGCCGTAAATCTAGCCAACCAGCTAGCCACAAGATCACTGGACCTGGACCTGGACAAGATCAATAGAAAGATAGATGAACAAAAAACAAGTAGTAGCTCCGTACTGGAGTAGATCTCACTGAACAAGGAAAGAAACTTGTTTTATTCAAAAATAGTACAAGATAAAATACACTACTGTAAGAAGAAGCTTCAGTGCACGAGCATACCGGGAGGTTGCATCATATGGGTCACCAAGATAGATACCGCTAGTAGTTTCTTGCAAGAAGAAGAAAGTGAGCCTTTTTCCTTCTTGTATACCCATCACTAGCTAGTGCTATACCTTCTATATCTATACAACAGAACCCATGTATACCCATCCTGGTGCTCTGCTCACATGTATGATTGGCAGCCTGTTGAAGAACCAAATTCTTCAGGCATACTTGGGTGATTTTTTTTTTCCTTCCTTGTTTCTTTCACATGGCAGCAGTAGCACTCCTACTGATTTGGTAATGCCAGCTATCAATGGCCAAATCTAAAATGATGCATTGTCCTTGTCCACGCAACTGACTCACGCGTGCCTGCCACCTACATGCCACTCAGAGTCCAAATCTTCTTCTTCCCAGAACCAGAATTGGCTAAAGGCAGGCAGTCAAATGCCAACATCTTGTGAATGATTCAAGACAGTAGATAAGATAGGCCTTCCCTCTCCCTGCCTGCACAATTTGTGTCTTCACCACGTACGCCTTAGTAAGGGACAAGCGCATAGATAGATACAGAGATAGATTTATCGACGCGGTGACAGCAGCTCCTAGTTAATCACTACAGAAAATTCTTTCAGGCAGGCATGCCGTAATAGTATTGTTTTTGTTCACGCAAGCTACTGGACTGGTGTAGTACTAGTGCTGATTCAGAGTTTGAGACAATGCCTCCACGGTCTACGCACTAGGCTGAGGTGAGGGTCCATGCATGCATGAGTGACAATGATCAAGCACCCGGATTGCCCAAATTAAGCACCCGGATTGATTATTACGATTGGTTAAGGCAGGCAGTGGAGCCGAGCGACAGGGGGCCAGGCGATGAGCGCCGTCCCTCCTGCTTTAGCTTTAGCAGCAGCGTGTCCTGAACGTTAGACACTACTGTAAGTATTACTGGCACACACCCGCATCTACATCCACGCAAGAGTCAGACAGATTTCTTGAGTGCTCTACGTGTTGTGTTGCCAGAATTCGTTTCCGTTCCATTGCATTCCACCACTTGAGAATAAAAGCTTTATATTCATCATCCTGCTCCACCACTTGAAATAAAAGCCATCTATCTATCCACTCAATTCTTTCATTCACCCACGCAATCAAGTCCCCGGCAGTGGTACAACTGCCTACTATGGCCATCGGAGGGAGCAGCAGTAAATCATTCTAACTGGCACGGTAGATTCCATGTCCGAGATGATGCAAGATCGGTTGGCATAATGAAACCTTGCGCCGTACTAGTAAACAAGAATGGCGGAGAGAGAGAGAGAGAGAGAGAGAGAGAGAGAGAATCCCGGCTGCCAGGGAACACTTCCAAAGCGAGACACGGCCAGTAAACAAGAATGGCAGACACTGCACGACGAAATGAGCAAAAAAGAAATAGTTAATTTATATTTTTATCCTTTATTACATTGAAAAAGCAAGCTTCACTGCACGAAACATGCGGGGAGGTGGTTCCATCATGCATGCATGTGTGTCACCGAGATAAGAGTACGGATTTCTTGCACGAAAGAAGTGAGACGTTTTGTTCTTGTCTTTAAGAGTGCTATCTTTCTACTCCCTCCGTTTTTAAATGTAAGGTGTTTTTTTAGAGATTTTAATACGGATCACATACAGACAGTGGCGGAGCCACCTCCCGGCAACCCTGGGCAGCTGCACGGGCTCTACCCAAATACTTCCAATAAATTACACTAAGAGACTGATAATTAATCATCAGTCTTTGTGGGCAAATGCCCATGAGCACATCCCTTTGTATTTTGCCCCGGCTCCATGGACGGGCTAGCTCCGCCACTGCATACAGATGTATGCATATGTATTTTAAAGTGTACATTAGAATATCTAAAAAGGCTTATATTTAAAAACGTAGGAAGTAGTACAGTAGAAGAATGAACTCAACTCTACGAATGCCCGTCCTGGCTGATAATGATCGGCAAGCACGGCTGCCTGTTGAAGAAACAAATTCTTCAAACGTACTCCTAGTACTACTGATTTTTCTTTCTTCTTTCTTTCTTTCTTTCTTTCTTTCACATGTTTTTTAGAACGAAGGCTCAGGACGAGCCCGGTTTTGAATTAACAAAGCCATCAACCGGCCAGGATTACAACAAGCGCCAATAACAGAAACGGAACAAAGAAAACAGCTAAAAGGGTACAAGAGTGCTGTGCAAACAGCTAATAGGCTTCTATCCATCTACAATCAAAGATGCAGAATCTAAAGAACAAGACCAGCTTGAAGACGATGAAGCCCTCCACCGAGTGCGATCCACCCTACCGAGACACCAGCAGGCCTTGAGAAGACCCAACTAGCAGGCGGGAGTAATGATGGCATCTCCATGGGCTCCGGCCGAATCAGCGACAACCTCCTACATCTCCGAAAGGGGCTCCCTAGCCCCTCGCCTGGCATGAGGCGTCGATCCGTCGGA